TGTGTTAACTTATCACTGGCTAACTTCATTATGTTGAATGAAAATAGTCCCACTAAGGATGCTACTGTTAGTGTTTATTGGATTTGTTGAGCCTGAAGAGTCATCAGACCATTTCTTTATTTATCATTGTACTTAGTGAAAAATCAAGTCATCCTTTTTTTTATTATAATCTTTATGTATATATAATTATTATTAAGTATGTTCGAACAATCCATAAAATGATTTAACAGAGGACAGTGGTGTTTCTGGATTTTTGCAGATTGGTGAATCTTTGTCCAACTTTACAGAGCTGTGAAATCTTTTTTTTCAACCACTTAGTTTTCCAAACAGCAACACAAGTTTTTTTGAGACGTGCCATCAAATTCAAAATCAGCTAAACATTTTCAGGAAATAGTAAAATGTCTTATTTTAAACATTTTATATATTTTCTGTGTTGTGCGGATAAAATATTGGTTTAAGAAATTTGGAAATCATTGTTGTTATTTACATTTTATCCATCATGCCAGCAGCTTCTGAATAGGGTTTGTTTGTAGATGTAAGTGGTTGCTTACCTCCTCCTGTGAGCTCAGTGTTTAATAATGGAAGGAAATGAATGAACGCATCAGTAAATATATTTTTTAAATCTCTCTGGATGTAAATGCATTTAGTCAAATTAAAGCACAGGAAAACTGGGGCGAAGAGTAACAAGAAAGATGAATTATTAATGATGGATACAAGTTGTTAGTATTAATTATTTTCTTGTCTTTTTTTCTTTTTTTTTTTTACTGTTTAATGATAAAGGGGCTATCAGGACATTCAGTGATGAACTGATCATTTGTTTTATTCACAAAATAAATCCAAAATGTATTTTAATTAACATGTAGTCAGTGTGTGTTCTACACTGTTTACTCTGAAAGTTGCTTTGCAGGAAATCATCTGTAATTCAGCTACTTCTACATTTGAATGTTCTGAATTATGACACTGAAATCCTTGTTCATTTTTATTTCTTAATGTTAGTCATTTTAAATATTTAAAAAATCAAAGTATCTTTCAAAAATGTATTATTAATTTGAACCCATTTTTATACACTTGAGTTTGTTTTTGTTCTTTCTTGTTTGTTTTCCATGATCTTTAACTTTTGTTTTTTAATCTGTTACATGTTCAGCTTTTTCAAACATCTGCATAAATCTGAGTAACAAGGAATATGTTCAAGCCCACATAGATGCAATTATCAAACATCAAGTCAGTGGTAGGAAATAAAAATCAGGTGGTCATGAGGAAGGAAGAGGTGATGGATTGGTAAATGTGGGAGATTAATGATCATGCAGCCTTAAAAGGAGAAGGGAAATTTCTTTGGACTCAAAAAAACAAAAAAAAACAAACAACCTCTGCCTCCACAATTCAGCTTCTTTCAACAAATTACAAAAACTACGCTGTAAAAATAACTTGAAATATTTTATATCAGCGCAATGTTTCAAAAAACAGTGAAAATCAAACTGGATTGTAACACCTCAAAAAAAGCACAATTTTTGTCTTGAAACTGTAGGATATGCACCACAAAAATCACCAGAAGTTCAAATCCATTCTCTTGCTCTTATACAATTCAGGGTGGGTCACGGGTGATACCCACTTGACTCAGCTTGACTCCACTCAATTTTTAGAATTTTTGGTTTGGTGGTAGTACCTGCTCAGTCGGGGTCGGTGTGGTGTCAACAGACTGCATGCAAATAATTAGCCAGCGAGTGATGACTCCATGGTCCATCTATGAGGTGCAGATGATTACCATCAGTTAAGCAGCACCATCACTGAGATGTCCTCTTGTTCTTGAGTTGCGTCGCATAAAAATAATGTCACAGGTCTTTTGGCCTGCGTTGCTTCAATGATCCAACCCACATTGAGGTGGCACTCAAACTAAATTGAAAATGACTGAAACTGAGTCGAGTTGAGTCGAGTAGGTGGCAATGGAAAAGCAGCAATAGCGTGAGAGCCAGGGTACACCCTGGACTGCCTCAAATCTGTTGGAGTGCTAAAACAAAAATTTATTTTAAATTATTTTCTAAGAAAATAAAAAACAAAAACAACCAAAATCTGCCCACAATAAAAACATAAAAACCCACATGTTCTAGTATTATTATTTTTATATTAATTATGCTTTTAATTTTTAGTATTGTTACAGTGCTGTGACAAGTTGTGAGGTGTCAGTGAGGTAGGGGATGAGGGGAAGATCATCAGTCAGAGGTAAACACAGTTAAATCAGGTCCATCCGGTAGCCCCCCTCTCTCAGCTGTTGGCTTGTTTGTGTATCAGAGGACTAACAAAGTTTCAGAGGTCGAGTTTTCTCCAGTTAGAGTCAGAATACAGAAACACGCTGTGTCTCTCAGTGCAGGTTGGCCTGGAGCTTTATTAATAAAGCTTCATTCAAAATTCATGAGGAGTTTCATGGGACTCGTTAGTCTGCGGCTAACAGATGCTAATGAATGCTAACAGAAGACTGCAGGGACGGTTTATATGTACATTGGCAAGAAATCAGATTTACATAAGATCTTAAAAGCCGATCTGAGTGAAAGTTTGATATACACATCTTTATTTAAACCAGAAAGACTCTCCAAACTGAACCGCAAACAACAAGTCCAGTTTGTGTCTTCAGAGAGACATCTGGGTTTGTTCTCCACTCCACAGATCTTGACGCGCTGCTTATGAGCTTTCAGTCACCAGAATTTAGCAGAGGGCAGCAGAGAGGGTTTGTCCTTGCGCCCAGGGTTAAAGATGTCTCTCACCTCCGTTTCCAGACGAATGCCAGGAACCTTAAAGATGGACACAGCTGACAAAGAAAGAAAGAGAAAAAAAAAATGAATTTAAGCCTTAAACAGCTTTTTGTTAAAAAAGGATTTATGATCATACATCTATAATGTATCTATGTTGGATGTTCAAATAAGTGCTGCTAGATGAGTGCTGAATTAACAGAAAATATGTTCTTTAAAGTTTAGCTGCAATATGGTAACATGTAAGTGAGTTCTTACTGTCTCTGAGGTGCATGATGGGAGGAGGCAGTGTGCTGAAGTACAGGTGCTGCATGGCGTCCGGAGCTGAGATCCTGTCTGTAGGGACCACCTTTAGCATCTCCTGGGCCAGGTCCTCGGTCTTATATGGCAGCTGCTCCAACCTGATCCAGATCAACACAGGCAGATGGAGGACTACAGAGTCAAGTGATCTAACCTGATGTACATGTGGACTGTTGGACTGTCTACAGTTAGCACAGATGAAGGACTGTCATGTGACTAATGTTTGCATTAGTTAGTGTGTTAGCAGGTTAGCATGTGTGTGCCCATATACAAGTTACCTTTTCCAAACGGTCCTAAGCTGCTTTGGTTCTGAGTAAAGAAACCGCTCTATGGAAAATAAAAACACACAATTAGCAAATGTTAACATGGATCTAAAAAATTTTCCATGACTTGCACTTTAGCTGGTTTTTAGCCTACGTTTATTATTTTTGGGGGAATGAAACAGCTGCAGTCTGTCATTGATGCCCTAATATATGTCAACAGATCACTGAAACCTCTCAGGCAGCTTTTTAAACTGTCTTCTTTTCAGGTTTCTGAAGGATTTGTGGAGGTTTGTTCTGGGATGACATGAGAACTAAATGGTGTCAGACTGAATCTAAAAGTGTGTGTTATCACTGTGAACAGCTCAGGTCTCATCACTCTAAAGGTGGTGTGGGAATTCCTGGGGGAGCCTGATCTTTAATGTTACAGCTCTGTGTGGGTTGGCCTGAAGTTACAGTTTACTGTAAAAAATGACTTTATCCAGTGATTCATGAGCAGCTCAACCACTGATCTCACTCTGTGGTTAATTTCTTCTCGTCTTCTCACACCCACATGATGTATCAGAGACCCTGTCAGACTTGCAGAGCAGAGTCTGCCTCAAAGTCTGAGAAATCATCTCATTTTAATCTGAGTAAAACTATTAAAACAGGAAACGTGGAGACATGTTGCCTCCCGGTGGAAACTTTGAGTCACTGCACAGTAATGACCCTTAATGAACCCCAAGCATCACAGAACAACTGTGAATGTTTACAAGACAAATTCATGCCACCTCCACAAAAACATCATTGATTTAATCAGCCTGTTTATATAGGACTAAAAAATGTATTTAAATATTAAAACTGTGAAATAACAACAAAAACAAAAACACTTAATAGAGAGTTGCATGTGTCAGAGGCGTTATCTAAACGTACCTGGTCTGTAATTGGGTAGAAGGCTGACACCAGGCCAGCTGTCCTCAGAGGAGAGGCCCAGGACCTGCAGGGTTACATCATCTTAATAGTATTAGTACTTAGTGTGAGTATTATTACAGTGTAATATCACAAAGTAGTACTATTTCGTGGACCAGTGATATAAACAGTGTTACTGACCTCCCAGATCTTCTGCAGCTGCTCAAACTCATCAGAGACTCCTGGGAATGCTGGCGCCCCCTGCAGCATCTCTATGAAAATGCACCCAGCCCCCCTAATTCAAAAACAGCAAACTTTATTCACACAGTCATAGCCGGCAGCTGAATTTGAATAATCGGTACTGACCACATGTCCAGAGCTGTGGAGTAGTCTGTGGATCCCAGCAGGACATCAGGGGGGCGGTACCACAGCGTCACCACCTCCGAAGAGAAGGTCTGACTGGGAATGGATTTGGACCGAGCCAGACCTGCACCAGAACCAGAAAACATTTGAAAAAAACATTTTAA